TTGACCCCAACTCACGGTGACCCCATGTGTTACAGAGTAGAACTGCTCCATAGGATTTTCTTGGCTGTAATCTTTACAGAGGCAGTTCACCAGGTCTTTCTTCCCTGGAGCCACTGGGTGGGTTCAAACCACCAACCTTAATTTAGCAGCCAGTCACAAACCACTTGTACCATCTAGCTTCCTCCTTTTTATAAATTATAAATTTATAAGTTAGCAAAGTTGAAATGATAGATACTGCCCAGCTATGGTAGGTATTTGATGAAATAGGTTCCCATAGATTGCTGGTAACATTGAATAAAAAATTTTAGCAGAAAAGTTTCTCAGAATTTACACTATTTAATTTGGTAATTTCATTTATAGGAAATATTCATTTATGCATAAAGTTTCATGTAAAGAAGTTATCTCACAATGAAAATTAGAAGTATCTTAAATTCAGTCAGTCTGGATGCTTAAGTAAATTACAGTCATTCCTACAATGGAATATTGGAGCTCTGGTAGCATAGTGCCTAAGGCACTTGACTGCTAACCAGAAGGCTGGCGGTTCAAACCCACCAGCAGCTCCTCAGAAGGAAGGTTGGGCAATCTGCTTCCGTAATGATACTGCCTCGGAAACCCAAGGAGGGGTCGCTATGAGTCAGGTCTGACTCGATGGCACATAACAAAACAACAACAATGGAATATTATGTAAAAACTAGAATGAGTTTTATGGTAAAAGTTTTAAAACCTAGGGAAATGATTCCTATACTGCTAAGCAGGAAAAAAAAAAGCAGGATGCAAAGCCATATAGACAGTATAATCTCAAATAAATAAGAATGAAAATGGATAAATTATGGGTATTTTTATTTTTCTGATAAATTTCTATATTTTCTACAATCACTGTGTATTTTTCTCTTTCTTTTGATTTACTGGATTTTTTTTTTTTAAGGCTATTAACATATTACATGCTTCTTGCAATAAGTTAAATTATAGAAAAATATAAAAAAGTGTAACAACCCCACCAGCAATGTATGAGGATTCCAATTTCTCCACATCCTCATAAATCCTTATTATTATCTGTCTTCTTCTTATTATTATAGCCATCCTCTTAGGTGTGAAGTAATATCTCACTGTGGTTCTGATTTTTATTTCTTCAGTGGCTAATGATGTTGAGCATCTTTACATTTGCTTAGTGGCCACTGATACATCTTCATTGGAGAAGTATCTATTAAAATCCTTTGCTAATTTTAAAATTGAGTTATTAGTATTTTTATTATTGAGTTGTAAGCTGATCTGGATACAAAGCCATTATTAAATAGATGATTTGCAACTATTTTCTCCTATTCTGTAGGTTGTCTTTGTACTTTCTTTATAATGACATTTTAAGCACAAAAGTTTAAAATTTTAAGTCTACCTTATCATGTATTTTCTCTCTTACTGCTTGTATTTTCGATGTCAACTCTAAGAAGTCATTGCTTAGCCCATAGTTATGAAGCCCTTATATTTAGGCCTACTATTAATTCTGAGTTAATTTTTGCATTAGTGTGAGATAGGGGTCCAACTTCATTCTTTTGCATGTGGATATACAGTTGTCCCAGTGTTGATTGTTAAAAAGACTATTTCTTTCTCACTGAATTGTCTTGGAACTTTACTTAAAAATTAGTTAAGCACAAACATAAAAGTTTATTTTGAGCCTCTAGCTCTATTCCATTGATCTATATGTGTACCCTTATATATATATATAAGTTTTTACAGGGAAGTGTGAGTCCTCTAAATTTGTTCTTTTTTCTCAAGATTGTTTTGGCTATTGTGGGTCATTTGTATTTACATGTAAATTGTAGGATCAGCTTGTCAATTTCTGCAAAAAGTCAGCAGTCATTTTGATAGGATTGTGTTGATTTCCGTGGTCAATTTGGGGAGTATTACCATATTAACACTATTAAGTTTTTGATCTATGAATATGGAATATCTTTCAATTTATTTAGATATTTATTTCCACATATTTTGTAGTCTTCAGTGTACAAGTCTTGCACTTTTGTTAAATTTATTCTTAAATATTTTTTGGTGCTATTGTAAATGAAATTGTTTTGTTAATTTTATTGTTCAGATTGTTTATTGGCAGTATTTAGAAAAACACCTGATTTTTGTATATTATTTCTGTATTTTGCACCTTGCTAAATATGTTCATTAGTCCTAAGAGATTTTTAGTACATTCTTTATAATTTTCTACATACAAGATGATGTCATCTGCAAATAGAGATGACCAAAACCAAAACCAAAACCAAAACCAAACTCACTTATTTTTCTCCAATGTGTATGCCTTTTATTTCTTTTTATTGCCTAATTGCCCTGGCTAAAACCTCTAGTACAAGTTTAAAAAGATATGGTAAGGGTGGGGATCCTTGTCTTTTTCCTCCTCTTAGGGGCAAAGCATTCAGTCTTTCACCATTAAGTATGATGTTAATTGTGGGAGTTTTGTAGGTGTCCTTTATTAAGCTGATAAATTTCCCTTCTATTTCTATTTTTTGAGTGTTTTAATCATGAAAATGTGTATTTTTTCAAATGCTTTTACTCTGTCAACTGAGATAATTCATGAGTCTTTTTCCTTTATTCTAGCAATGTAATTTTTATATTAATTGATTTTTGTATATTGAGCTATCTTTGCATTCCTGTGATAAATCCTACTTGGATACTACTGTAAATATATTTTTACATGTTGCTGAATTCAGTTTGCTAGTATTTTTTTTTTTGAGGATTTTTGCATCTTTATTCATAAGGTATATTGGTCTACAGTTTTCTTTTGAGACATCTTTGTCTGGTATGGTATCAAGGTAATATTGGCCTCATGGAATGAGTTGGAAAGTATTCCTGCCACTTCTATTTTTTGAAAAGTTTATGTAGTATTGGTATTAAGTCTTTAAATATTTCATAGAATTCACTAGTGAAGCCATATGGTCTAGGGCTTTTCTTTGTGGAAAGTTTTTAAATTGCCAATTCAATCTCCCTACTTGTGATAGCTCTGTTCAGATTTTCTATTTCTTTGTGAGTCAGTAGCTTTGTCTTTTCAGGATTTATCCATTTCATCTAAGCAATAGAATTTATTTCCATACAGTTGTCATAATATTGTCTTTTATCCATTTTCATTTCTGTGAGGTCAGTAGTGATGTCCCCACTTTCATTCTTAATTTTAGCCATTTGAGTCCTTTTTTTTTCTTGGTCAGTCAAGGTAACCAATTGTCAATTTTGTTGTAGATCATGTATAAGAAGACATAAGAAATGAGGGGTACATTCATCCAGGAAACTACCCCCCCTCTGTGGTAGCTGAGTTGTGTGTCAACTTAGATGGGCCTGATTTTGAGTGGTGGGGCAGCTGGATGTAGTTATTTCCCATGATGAGACTGGTAATCAGCTCCATGGTGGAATCTACCAGGGCAGCCGAGTGGCTGCCTTGGGGATGTAGTCTGCTTCCAGTATATAAAAAGATACTTTGAGAAAGGTCTCTGAGGTTTCTGGCATGCTTGGACCCTGCGTGTAGCTGCGGCTTCATTTAGCAGCCTGCCACGTTGTCTACTGATTTGGGGATTATCTGTGGATTTGAACTAATAGCCTGCCATGTTATTTGGTAATCTTGGGACTGTGCCATTTTATTTGACATCTGTCAGCCTCAGCAGCCAGCAGTTGCCTGAGTTAAGAGAAGTCTCCAGCCTCAGTGGGTCGGGAGCAAGAGGCAGAGATGAAGCCAAAGGTGTAGGGGCTTTCACCCATCCCCTAGAGCTGGCACTTTGAACTTGGACTTCTAGCCTCCTAAACAGTAAGAGAATAAATCCTGTTTGCTCAGACCATCTACCTTCAGTATTTTCTGTTAGAGAGGCACTGGAGAACCAAAGCACCCTCTGCCACACAGACAGAAGAGAGAGGCTTGATTCCTTGGAAAAAGGAGAAAAAGCACAACTCCTGTCTTGGGAACAGCAGGAAGGCAGAGTAGAGGGAAACAAATAATAAAATGAGTGGGATTAAGATAATAAGAATCTATTTCCTAAGTCCTGGTTTATGTCTTTTAAGCATGAGTTTGAAGGGATAGAGTACTCAGGACTATTTAGAGAACATAAAAACTCAAAAAAAAAAAAAAAAATCAAGAGAAAACATATACTCAGAGTTTTTAATTTGGCGGAAGTGGAATAAAACAACAATTTAAGAATCCCCTTGGAATGTGACAGTTAGAAAGCCATTTTCACATTAAAATTAAAAAGAGAAGTAAGATAAGGTGGGTTTTCTTGAAAATATTATGCGGAGTGAAACACATTAGTCACAAAAGGATAAATATTATATGATTCCACTGATATAAAATAGGCAAATGTATAGAGATCAGAATTTATTAGTGCTTGCCAGGGATGGGAGTAAGGGGGAAAGGAAAAGCTTTTGTTTAGAGGGCAGAGTTTCTTTTAATGTTAGAATAATTTGGAAATAGATAGTGCTGATGGTTGCATAATATGGTGAACGTAACCTATGTCATTGAATTGTGTATGTAAAAAAAGATGGAGTTGGCAAATGTTTCATTATATGCATATATTTACCACTATATATATGCATACATATATTTAATTGTGAGGAAAATGAGGCAATCTACTTCTGTAAAGATTTACAGCCTCAGAAACCCAATGGAGGTCACTATGAGTCGGAATCGACTCAACTCATTGGCAGTGAGGTTATTTTGGGGGGGGGGTTGTTATTTGTTTTGTTTTGCTTTTGGAATCTTCAGAAAGGGAAATGAGAGCTTTTATTGCCTCATTCTCCTAAATGCCAGTATAGTTGATTGAGAGTTTTCTCATAATTTCCATCATTACCACTACCATCTTTGCTTTGAGTGCTAGGTAAGGTGAAGCTTGGGGATGAGGAACCACCTCAAGAAGCTGGTGGCTTGGTGACTAGCCAGCAGTGATGGACCATGAGCTGTGTGCATACTATGCACCCGAGACAGAAGAAAGCCTAGTCCCAGGGCCACTATGTCAGACATCGTAACTCACCGATACTGTTTTTGCCGTGTTTCCAGTTCTTTACGTCTGTGCTGCTTGAGAATGTGAATTTGGTCATCTCTGGACAATTTTGCTGTGAAGAAAGGCACGTATGAGAAAAGCCTAAGAAGGAATGATAAGAATATCCAATATTTAGAGGCCCCTTATGCATCCTGCCCCATGCTGAGTGCTTTACATGTACTATCTCTTGTAAGCCACAGAACACTCACCCCACTTTTATGGCAAGGAAATTGTGGCTTCAGGTGGTTGAATAGCTTTTTTCCTGAATCTAGCCCAGGGTCACACACTTAACTGGTGAATTTTCAACACAAGTCTCAAATCCCACATTCTTAGTCATTCCCTTTTACAAAAGACAAATCTAGTCCATCATCCTCCTGCCCACCTGCTTGGTAAGCCTCAGGATTCTGGCACCTCAGTGCTCATGGAATAATATCCAGGTTGACGAGCCAGTGTTTATTCTCGTATATGCCCACCTCTGGCCTGTCTGTGGATTTCCACCCAGATCCTCTAACAACATTTGCTCTGCAAATAAGCATGGGGCCCAGGGATAGGGTTGCCTTTCACTCGAAAGAAAAAGGATTTTATGGTCCTTGATGGATTTTTCACAGTTCACTCCTCTCCCTTGTGCAATTCTTATGCTTTTTATACACAAAGGGCAGCTGACTGTGGGCTTCAGAGTTGCCTGGAGAGAGTGGCTGTCATGTACCTGACTCTGCTTAATAGGAAAATCTGTGACTTAAGATCCAGCATACAAATCCTAACACTGTCTAGTTTCCTGTGATGCCTACATGGAGGACTGAGCGAGAAGCTCAATTCTAAAACAGTGTAGGCACCCAGAGTTCGGGCTTTAGAGGAAACACAGCTGGTTTGGACTTGGGCTCAATCACTTAAAACTATATGACCTTGAACAGGTTGCCTTGATCTCCTCATACGTGAAATAAAAAACAAAACAATACTCACTGTCATGGAGTTGGATCTGACTCATAGAAACCCCTCCTTGGGTTTCCAAGGTGGTATCTCTCTGGAAGTAGATTGCTCAGTCTTCCTTCTGAGGAGTGGCTGGTGGGTATGAACCACCAGCCTTCTTGTTAGCAGTGAAATGCCTTAGGTACTACACCACCAGAGCTCCCCATATGTAAAATGGGGACAATAACACCTATGTATCAGAGGCATGGTGGGATTTAATTGAGAGAATGCAGCAGAGCACTTCATACTATGGCTCACAGCACCTCTGGCCTGCTGCAGCTCCAGGCCTCAGGCCTGAAATTATTATTAGCTGTTAGTTTCCATCAAGTTATATCTGACTCCTGGCAACTCTATGTACAACCTTATAAAATTTGTCCTGGTCCTGCACTATGTCAACGTTGTTGGTATGCTTGAGATCATGTTTGGAGCAACCACTGTGTATTTTGAATGCTTTCCAACACAGAGGGCTCATCTCCCAGCACTATATTGGTCAATATTCTATTGTGATTCATAGAATTTTCATTGGCTGATTTTCGGAAGTAGGTCACCGGGCCTGGCTTTAGTCCATCTTAGTCTGGAAGCTCCTATGGCCTGTCCACCACTGAAAACTGCTGGTGTTTGAACTGGAGCCCAAAGGTCAAGAGGACACATCTGCATTTTCCCCTGGGGATGTTAAGCCAGCTGCTGAGGGAGGCTTATGGCCACTGAAGCTCAAATAAGCATTAATTGTAAGAATGACAGATATTGTTGTCCTTAGAGGCACTGTTTCAGGCACTCTCCATTTATCATCTCTAATCTACTTCAAGAAACTGGATTTTCTCTGGGGCACCATGATACTGAGGAGTTGAATCTCTTAGCCTGACTAGTATGAGTAAGTCAGAACACACAGATTGCAACACTCCAAGTTTCCAAAGGTGAATGGTTGCATTTCTTCTGGCCCTGAGGGTGTTGGCACACTTCTTCTAATGATTGATGTAACTTCCAGGAACATGGCAGGATGACAAAGCCTGGACTGACTACAGAGAACAGATTCCAAAAGACCGATATGCTATGTTTCATGACGTTGCTCCATCACATAGATGCTCTGGATGTCTGGGACCACAGAGACTGCTTCTGACTTTTATATTCACTCAAAGTGCAGTGGTGAAATGTGAGATTTAAGAGGTTATACTGTGCCTATACAACTATGAGACCAGAAGAACTAGATGGTGCCCAGCTACCACTGCCATCCACTTGGAAGGGATGTAGGAGATCCTGCATAAAGAGGGAGAACAATGTGGTACAAAACTCAAAATCATTTGGAGGCAAAAAAAAAAAAAAAGAAGGTGGGGACCAGGTTTGCTGGTCCAATAGAGCCTGGTGTAACCACTGAGACTATGGCCCCTACTTGCCCTTCAGGTCTGGAATTGAACCCACAACTGTGGTTTCCAGCCAAACAAAGTACAGGCATGTGAGTTAAACATTTACCTCAAGTAGACACATGCCCTGGAGAGAACAATCATGGGTGAGGGAAGGGCTGCTTATGCACAGGGAGATAGCTCAGGGTGCAGAAGAGTATGAAGGGATGGACACTGGGAGGAGGTAACTATGGGGAGGAAGTGGGAGGGGAGCTGCTGCATTGTAAATTTTGGTCAATGACATGAGACAAAGTATATGTGAACTGCTGTATGAAAAGTGAATTTACTCTGTAAATCTTCACCCAAATCCTAATTAAAAAAAAAAAGAGGTTATACTGTGGTGAACAGTTGAATTGCTTATGAGATGGATCCCTCATTTCCAAACTATCCAAAGCATTGGTTATTTTGCCATATGGTGGACTGAAGATAGCCACAGATTATCTGACACTCCTCTATCAAAAACGGGATCTGTGTCCCCTCTCCTGAATCTAGGTGGGCTCTGTGACAGCTCTGACCAACATAAAGAGAAGCCACACTCTGCTGGTATCCAGGTCCAAGCCTAAAGAAATTAGCAGCATCTACTCTCTGTCTTTTAGAATATTTTCTCTTAGAAGGCAGCCACCATGTAAGAAGTGCAAGCACCGTTAGGCCACCATATTTTGAGAAAGCCCAATTTAGGTGGAGAAACAGCCTTAAAGAATGAGAGGCTATGTGAAGAGAAAGACATTCAACATGGGACAGAAGAAGCCTTCTTAGAAGTGAATCCTCAAGCCCTTCTGCCTCATCTGACACCACATGGATTGTAGATGAACTGTGCAGCTGAGACTTTCCCAAATTCCTAACCCACAAAATCATGGTGAGGTAACATATAATGGTTGTTTAAAGTCACTAAGACGGTTGCACAGCATTATATAAGTGGGACATGATGGAGAGCTTCCATGTGCCCCTCTGGACCTACCCTTCTCTACCTTGTCTGCCTCTGATGGTAATTAGAATGGAATACTCCAATGGGGACCTTGATTCAAGCCTGAAGGACATGGTAAAAGTGATGTTACAGCATTTATTCCCCAGCTGTTTTCTGAAGTATCTCTCAAGCTATCTCCATCTCTGCTGAAGCCCACAGCTCCTCTCCAGGGAGCTCTGCTCCAGGGCCCTTTCCTTCTGGATTCTTACATTCTTTCTTCCCTGGGGTTACTTCTCACCTCATCAGGAGTAGCAATGGGAATGGCTTGTGATCCCTCTACACACGGCCCTACACCTTGTGTGTGTGTGTGTGTGTGTGCATGTGCGTGTGATTTGGGTGAAAGTTTACAGAGCAAATTCACTTGCCATACAGCAGTACACATACAGTTTGTCTCATGACATTGACTACAATTTACTACAATGCAACAGCTCCCCTCTCATTCCTCTTCATAGTTACCTCTTCCCTGTGTCCTTCCCTCCATGCACTCCTGCCCCCTGAGCTATGTCCGTGTGCATACACAGCCCTTCTGTTCTCCCAAGACTGTTCTCTCCAAGGAGTGTATCTACCTAGTGTAGATGTTCACCTCATATTCCTGTCTTTTGTTTGGCTGGAAGCCACAGGAGTGGGTTCAATTCCAGACCTGAAGG